TATTATTATTATTATTATTATTATTATTATTATTATTATTATTATTATTATTATTATTATTATTATTATTATTATTATTACTATTATTATTTAAAAACAAATTTTATTAATTTTCAAAGACAATACACAAACAAACAAAACATAAAACATAAAAACATAAAACATCTTTTCTGAAAGCTGCTTGATCCCGGGTTACATCTCTTCATATAGACACAAATTCAAATTCATGTTCATTTTATATACCATTCCATATCTTATTACCATTTTCCATTTTCTATATAGCTTCTCACCTCTTTTAACTTTCTTAGTTTTATTTTATTTATCTCATCTCAGTTCAAATCATTATGCATATTATTCTTTGTCTGTTCTATTTCCAGCTATCTATTTATCTTTTCTCTTTAAACAAAATTTCTCCTGTACACTAATTGGAGTGTGACGTCTTTAACTCTTTCCCCTAAATTTATAACACTTAGTATAGTACATAAGTTCCATTGGGATTCTGTTTAGTACGTTCTAAAGTTACACATTATATTTTAAAAAAAGAAAAATTTATAAGTATGTAATATAATTAAAACAACTACCCATGCCAATTCAAATCTATCATTAATATTAATATTCATTTAAATCTTAAACATTTTACACATTACTTTTCAATTGAATATCATACTTTTATGGGAACACTTATACTTTCCATAGTTATTTCCCCCCCCACTTCACATCACTTATATTTTAAATCATTGTATCATTAAAATGTTCCCATTTCCTCCTACTTCAATTCTCTCATTTATTTCATTGCCTTCCTTTTATTCACAAAAATTTCACTAAGTTACACTGAATATTTTATCCCATTTTTTGATCATATGTTGTTTCCAATTTTCTAACATTATTTCTAAGTACAAATATAACAATACAATCTTATGTACCTTTGCAGAATCCCTTTTTCAATTAAATTTTACCCATTATCTCTAAATGAATCTTGTTTCTTTACATCTTGCTCCACACCATTGAGGCTTCTCATCCCTTCCTTCCTCCCTTGCTTCTTCTTCTCCCTGCCCTTTTAACCCCCTTGTCTCTCCACCTCTCTTTTCTTCTTCTGCATTCCCCCTTTCTGTTGTTTTCTAACATTATATCCACTTTTCACCTTATTTTTCTCTTTTTTGGTTGTTTTTTTAAATCTTAAAGTCCCCTTTTTCTTTTCCTCCTTCTCCCTTTCTTCCCCAAATAAAGTTACTTGTTCATCAAAGATGGCTTCTTCTTTATCCCAATCATCTTGTTGCGCAGTCAGTTTCTCATAGGTGCAAATCGCCATTTCTAAGAATTGAAAAAGAGTGCCAAGAGAGTCTTTCCCTTCTTGTTCTTCTTTGTATTTTTTTAATTCAATTTTCAATTCATCTACAAGTGATGCCATTGTAGAAAGAATTTTTTTTTCCAAAACAACCACCCAAGTGTTTTTAGTCCTTCAAAGATAATTTCCAAAAGTCCCAAAGTCACCAAACAGTCCAAATAAGCTGTTTCTTTTAGCACTTTCTTCTTTCTTCACTTTCTCTTTCTGGGGTTACTGTTTAGTTGCAAAGTTCCAGTTAAAATGTCTCTTTTAGAAGTCTTGTTAGTATTTAATGATTCTTTAAAATTCTAGGCAATCTCCTCCTTACTTCCAAATCCTGCTCCAATTCTTTTCCTCTCCCTTCCCACTTACAGCAAAAAAATGTTTTTTAAATGTTCAGAAATCCTTATTATCCCTTTAGCATTTAATTATCCAGTTTACCTATTGATGCCAAAGTGGGTTTTTCTGATTTCTCATGTATTTCTGTTCGCTGTCAACATTAGGAAGGAGAGTGAAAAAAAAAGAACTTTCCCTTTTAACTTCCATTCGCCGCTTGTAAATCTCTGGGAACGATGTATCTTTTGCAAATTTTAAGTTCCAGGATTCCTTCGTTGTTGCTTTGTCCTGGTAAGCAAAAAAACTTTTACTTCTTCTTAACTCCTCCTGCACTTTCTTTTCCGGCTGAGCGCTTCTTTGTGGCGGCCATTTCTGACCGCCGCTCTACCGCCTTCGGAAAAGGGGGTTTAGCCGGCTAGGGAAGAGAGGTGCGATTTCTCTTGACCCTGCCAGATCCCCTCTGTCTTCACCACCTTCTATGGAGGTGGCTAGCCCTGAAGCCAGGTGGCTCAGGGCACTCCAGCGGCGAGCGGAGGCAGAAACCACGCACGATCGCGGATTCCTGCCTGCCCCGAAGCGCTGCAAACCGGGCACCATTATATTATTATTATTGCTATCAGTATATGTGTTATCTTTTTTCTTTTTCTATCCTTTTTGTAAAATGATATGCCCGGACAATACACTGTATTCAAAATACTTATATATAAATAAAAAAATAACTTGACTTAAAAAAGGTAATTTATGAGTTCATTAATGCAGAATCTCTTTAAGCATTCTCCATTTTTTCCTTCCAAGCTATTTGTAACCTGGACTGTTCTACCTTTATGACAAGCAATAACCAAACTCCTATCCCATTGTTTGGTTGCTTCTGTTTCTCCTGTTTTGCTAGGCTTCCTACTACAGACTCTGACATTTTGTGAGATGGGTTACACTGGTAGAAAATAGCTGGCCCAAAGTGACTCAGTGACATTCTGGGGCTGATGGCAGCCTGGGTGTTCCCTTTCTGAGTTCAATACCTTAATCCTTGTACCACACTGGCTCACTGTACAAATATAGCCAATTGTGCTTTATTCAATAAATCATAAATGAATGAATGTCTTTGCACAATGTGTAAGTTCTGCTCTATTTACCTTGGCAGAATCCAAACTTGGAGTAGTGCTATGTAATATTATCTCCTTTTCCATCATGCTATTTTTCTTACTAAGATAGATTTTGTAGATTAGGTTATAATTGTCACATCTTGCTTCTGTTGCACTTACTCTTGTACATATATTTCATGTGCTGACCATATGGGAAAGTTGGATCTGCAGAATAATAGCAGCTGTAACGCTTACATTTTATATCTACTCAAAGATACCCATTTCAGTAATGTAGAAATACTAGAAGTACATGATTTAGACCACCTGCCATCATTTCTTCTTCCTATGTAACCAGCCCATTTCCATTTCAAATCTTACTCTTTTGATTGCATTGTGTATTTTCCATTTGTTTTCCAATCCATATGCAGGTCTTCCTATCTTGTCTTGTGATGCTGAGCGTGTATCTTTTCATGGCTCTTTGTGACATTCAGCTACAGATACAGATAATCAGAGTTGTGTGGAAAGGGAACTTCACAAAGACAGTGGTGTCACTCAAGCAGGAAAAGCCCAAAGGGAACATCAGGCCAGCCATAAAACAAACGTGCATAGGAAAAGGAACCAAATAAAAGGTATTAAAGAATCCCTATAGACAAAAGCCCAAGTAATTAAGAAAACTAGACAAATAAGAAAAGGAAACCCTTACAAACACAGGACATACCAAATAAGCAAAACAAACAGACAAAAGACACACAAAAAATATAAATTACAAAAGAGACAGACAGGAGATTGCCACAAAACAAATATGAAAAAAAAAAACCATTATAAAGCTAAAAGAGATTAGGAAAAAAAACCAATAAGACAATCTAACCACCCCACAGAATTTGCCTTCCGCACCCCGTGGAGTTTACCCTCTGGCGGGAATAAAGACAAATCAGTCTCAGGTTAATTATTTACAAATGTTTATGAATAGTAGAAATTATCAAATGACTTTATAATGGAGTTGTTATCAGTTAAACTTGTGTCACTCTCCCAATTTCTCCAATCATTATCTTTTCTCAATTTATATGTAACCATCTTTCTCGTTTATTTGTGAACTCTAGTTTGTCTTCCTTTCATATTATTCAGTTTTATTTCTATTTCCTGGGCAGTCAACATAGATAGTGCTGGCATAGTAACTTAATTTGATGTAAAATTTTAGACTCTGTTGGTGCCTTCTGTAACTCAGTTTCTTTCTTTTTAAGTTCATTGAATATCCTTTTCATATTGTCTTGAGATTTCTTTTCCAAATGGCTATATTGAAGGAAGTAGCCTTTCATCACAGCTTTACTCACTTCCCAAACAGTCATTAAGTCCATATCTTTACCCAAATTACTATTAAGATATTTTAGTTTCTCTTTACAGTCCTTTTCCCCGTCTCTAAAATAGTTTCATTCAATCTCCTTCTATAATGTAAAATCCCTTTTTTAAGTATTGAAACTGGATTATGATCAGAAAAGATTTTAGGCTAAAATTTCCACCTTTGACAATTTGTTAGCTAAACTTTCATATATCCATTTCATATCTTTCTTGAAAATGATTTATGTCATTCTGAATAAAAGTCCTCTAGCCAGTCCATTTTTCTGCCTCCAAGAGTCAAGCAACAGAAAATTGTCCATCAATTCAAAGAAAACTTTCAGTAATTTGCCTTGGGAAGATTTTATCCCTTTAATTGATGTTCTGTCAAAAGCTTGAGAGATGACTTCATTCCAATTAAAGAGGTTGTTTTTACTGTATGTGGTTAATATCTACTGTTCTTATACAAAGAATAAATTGAGATTATACTATTACTATGGAATTTACTACACTGGAAAAAGTTGGGAATCACTGGGGTTTTTTTTTTCTTTCAATTTCCCTCATTTTTTCCCCTTCTCTTTTTCTCTTTACCTCTTTTCCCCATTGTCTTTATTTTCATTTGTATTTTATATTTAAAAAGTGTAATAAAAATTATTACATAAATAAAATTTATGAACAGTAAAAATAATAAATAACATGGATAATTTTATAATAAGAGGAAACTTCAATATTGATCCAAACTGAAATTATATCCAAACAAATAATTTTATAAATCAATATTTTTTCTAATCCAAATCATTTTTCTAGAACAAAAAAGATTGAAAATGTTTTCATCAAACTGATGCTTCAAGTTTGGAAGAATAGCTTAAAGGATACTTCTCCTTCAGTAACATGTGTAGATTAAATGATACTTCTCGTTCAATAACATGTGTAGATTAGGATAATCATTATGGTTTGGCTAAAATGAATTTTTTGACAAAGTACAATCTTTATAGTCCCAAAAGATGCTTTTTTCAAACTGCAACTGGACTTTCTTGATTTTTCTTGAAGATGTTTTAAGAGAGGTAGTCTCTGAGCTTGCTTGTTTTCTTGCAGAAGTTTCATTACCCAAACTAGGTCACATCATTGGAGTAAAATGTTTCAAGAAAAATGTTCAGCCATTGGGGGTTAATCTGTGTGTTTGTAGTCACCTGAACCAGAGTGGAAATGAATGTGGAATCTTTATAGGGCTGCTGAGAGATCGTACTGTAAATAGGAGGCCCCACATTATGCTAACATTAACCCACAGGTGGCTTCAATGACCACAGGGTGTTGATGACTGGCTGAGTACCAAGATTATAAATGCTTTCTTTTCTCACCAGTTAGAACTGAAGAAATTTGTTGGATGAGAAGTGAAATGTCTTTAAGAAAAAAATCAAGAAAGACACCTACAATCTTTATACACTAAAACAAAGGTCTCCAAACTTGGCAACTTTAAGACTTGTGGACTTCAACTCCCAGAATTCTGGCTGGAGAAAACCCGGACTAAAAGATCAGCTCATCAGCTCCTGGTGGATGTCTTTCCTTGGCAAGGAGCCACACCTAAATCCTATTGTCTTCTGATACTACAAGCATTCCTAATGGCTGCTAGTAGTAATCTTCTACAGCAAGTATTCTTTGACACATTTGGAAGTGCTACAGCCAGGATCTGTTGTTTTCTCTGCCGATACTAAGGCTCATTTATGTGGTTTCTTGGTTGGCAGATTTCCTGGCTTGCTCTAGAAGATGATGGACCCTCAAAAAAAATCTGTAAATAGGTCAAATCCATACTAAAATGGCATAAACTCATATCTACCCATTCTAGGCATGCAAAACTACATGAATTTAGCAACTGAATTATTTCTCCCAAATGAAACATTGAACACAAAAGATATCACTTTTAGAAATAAAGAAATTTCCAAAACTTGGAAGAGCATGCAGACCTGACAGGAACTGAGGGGAAAGTTTAAATGGTCATAATTCCAATTCAAATGAATGAAGAGCTTAGGTTAAATTCAGAAGATCCTCTTCTTTGGTCTTCATGCTACCAGAAGCCTTTCAAAGCTCTCTCCAACAAAAAGAAAACAGGCCAGGTCCTCTTGCTACCTCCCTGAAATTTTGTGAAATATCAAATATTGACTGAGCAAACAAAACCTGCTGAAACTAGCAGTTGTTTCAAGAATGGAAGCTCCTTAGAATGCCATTCTTTGTCTCTCTGATGGATTTCCCTGTAAAAAAACAAACAAAAACAGAAAGCAAGAAAACACCAGTTGGGCATACATGGCAAACTGTGTTGTTTGGATTCCCTGTAAAATTCCATAGAGGAAGCAAAGTGATGACATAGTTTATGCTTTGCCCAGAGGTCACATAGGAGATAGATGGAATCAAGGGAGTATTTGTGTATTAAAATCCATATTCCCTCTATCACTTTTAAGAGATTTATCATGCAAAGTAAATAGGTTGCCTGTCATTTTTGCCCCACATTAGAGCTTTTAGCTATAGGAAGTATGATAGTTTTACATACACAACAGGTATGACTACAGGTTTCTGATTTTCATGCTGGAAGGAGGAGAAACTCTGATTTAGCAGATGGATCCTGTGCTGAATCAAAGTGACAGGATCCTCAACTGATGGAATTAAACTCATGGTTGATGGGAATCACTTTGCTTATATTATTGAGATGCGATGCTCTGATCCAGATTTCATTTTTCTTGTTTCTTCTAGCTCTGAATCCAAAGGAGAGTCTGTGTCTCTGCAGAAAAGCAGGAAAGCCTTAGGGTGGCCCCAGAGTGCCTCAGAGATTGCTACAAAGTTATAGGATATATAATATGGCTGAAGGAGAAAATTATTAAATAGGTTGAATCAACACAATTGTAATGAATTGTACTATTTAGCTTAAGTCCGGTGTACTTTTTGTCTTCATTGTGCCCATTTCTTTTGTTCTGTATCCCACTTATTTTTTGGAGTGCTGCCTGAGATATTGCACTGAGAGGTCAAGGGTAGAAGCCCAAGGGTTGCGCTTCCTAATGTTGCTTTATCATATCAAATATTGTTTATGTGTATATAGCAATAGCAATAGCACTTGGACTTATATACTGCTTCACAGTGCTTTAATAGCCCTAAGCGGTTTACAGAGTCAACATATTGCCCCCAACAATTTGGGTCCTCACTTTACCCACCTCGGAAGGATGGAAGGCTGAGTCAACCATGAGCCGGTGAGACTCAAACTGCCAAACTTCTGGCAGCCGGCAATCAGCAGAAGTAGCCTGCAGTACTGCATTCTAACCACTGCGCCACCACGGCTCTTAATGTACATATACAGTATGTTTGTATGTAAAACAATGAAAATCTCCTTTGACAAATTGCAAAGTTCATCTTGTGTGATGTTACATTTTTGAAGTCCTTTTAACAACATGCCTATTATATTTCTGGTTGTTTAGAATCTAACCTAAAAAGGTTACAGCATTTGGCCTGTTAAGAAACCATAATGACTCACCTGCTTGAAAAGTTGTTCATTTTCCTCCTGCTTTGTGCACTGCTGGGATTATTTTTTTCTATTCAATGGCACACAGAAATGACAGGTAAGACAATGGATGATGAATTAACAGAATTCCTGTTATCCAGGATGTGGGTGGGGTGCAGTTGGTCAATCTCTTGGAGTTTGTAGCAATCCAGCCACCACGCGAAGAAATAATTCAGCAAGATTCATTATATAGCAGAAACCTCTTTATATACAATAATATAAAACAAGATGCATGTATAGAATATCCTTGCAGCTCTTGCAATGTGATAGAGAGAAGAAGTAGCAAGTACAAGAAGAAGCACTAGAACTCTCAAGCAAAGGCAAAATGAACTCATTTATACACAGAACGGTTAATTAAACTAAGCCACACTCAAGCTCCAAGTCAGAGGTGGTATTCAGCAGGTTCTGACCAGTTCTGGAGAACCGATAGCGGAAATTTTGAGTAGTTCGGAGAACCAGCAAATACCACCTCTGACTGGAGATTTTACAGCATCCTTCCCCTGCCACGCCCACCAAGCCACGGCCACAGAACTGGTAGTAAAATTTTTTGAATCCCACCACTGCACCATCTCGCATGGCTCATACAACAAATCCTGTGTCTCAATCACCTAACAGTCCCGATTGGCTGACTTGTTGCCATGCCTATTCCAGTTCATGAATCCTTATACACCGACACAATCATGTTTATTTTCCAGTAAAGTAGATATTAAAAAATAGGTAAATATGATAGAGGAGTGGAACTGTGTAAATATTACACTCAGAGGCAGAATAAGGAAATAACTAAGAATGAAAGAGAAGGATGGGAAATATGTGTTGAAATCAATGTCAAATACATTCAGAAAGAATAAGTTGTATTGTGTCTTGTAGTTCTGGACAAATATGTGTTGATAGATTATAAGATCACAGAATGTACTATGACTTCTGTTCCTCTTCATGCGGTTTTGAATAGCAAATTACGCAAAAACTAAACAAGCACTTACTCTACAGACATAATCACAAACAGAATTGTTAGCAGCCATAATCATCTCTAAATTTGCAAAGACCCATAGGCTTACCATCCTTTCTAAACATGAAATCTGTTCTCACAGAAACGTACATATGCCGTTAAATTTTCACAGCTTCTTTTTAAAATAAATGTTAAAGAATAAAATCAATGACTAGACAAAGGAAAAGAAGAAAATGATAAAAAGGCACAGTAAAAGGAAAATGAAATCTCAATAACTAAACAGATTACAATTGTTGTAACATTTAAAATTCATTATTTCAATGATCACTTAAACATATAAAATCAATCATATTATTTCAAAAAATAATTTCAAGGCAAAAAAAAAGAAAACCCTTATAAATAGTAAGAAAAACAATATTAAATTCTAGATTCCCTCCCAATGTACCCAATCAGTGATTTCATTAAATTATTTATAAACATTGTAGTAGCTTCTGGTTACTATCTTGATATCAACTATTTTCCCCTTAAAAACTGTAGTCTAAGTCTTTGAGGTGACTTTGTTATATGATTTGGAATATATAAGGAAGCCATTCTTGCTTACGTTTAGTCAAAATTCTACTGCATCCAGAGTTACCATAGGGTAACACTATACGGCTTACAGTTACATCTAAGTTAAAACATAAAAAATTAAAATCAAACTTTAAAACCAAAAACACATGGAGAGGGAGGGTAATTTCCTACCCAGATGCAGAATTTTATTTTTCCTCCTGTTCGCTTTTATCTTGTTCACTGGAACTCAGTGCTCCAGGCTATCTAATGAAATTTATCTCATTGATCCAAAGTGTTAACTGCCTCTCCCCCGGCTTTATGCCATCTGCATGCCATCTGCAAACCCTTAATTTATCATTTCAGGTCTCTCATTCAAGTCATTGATAATAAATGTGAACTAACTCCAAGTCACAGCTCTGTAGCCAGGGGTGGGATTCTACCGGTTCGGACCGGTTGTATAGAACTGGTTGTTATGATTCTGCGTCATTCGGAGAACCGGCAAATTGTGCCCCTGGCTGGCCCTTCACCTCCCTATCCAGTCAGTGCTTATCGCACATGCGCGACATCAAGTGCATGCCCGACGTCGCTGACAATGTTCTCCCTCGCCCAGTCACTCCTTAAGGTATTTCTTTTTTTCCCTTCCTGACGATCAGCTGTTCTGATGATGAGCTGTGCCAGGATCCCCCTCGCTGTCTTACTGCTTCACCCAGGAGGCTTCCCTGATGCCCAGGAGGCAAAAAGGGGGCACACAGGGGCGGGGGTGGGTGGGTGCTGCGCACCTCCCCTGTCTCCATTTTTTGCCGTCCAGTGCCCCAGGGTAGCCTTCTGGGAGCAAAAACGTCTGCCCAGGAGGCTTCCTTGAGGCCCAGGAGGCAAAAAAAGGAGGGATGCTGCAAAAAAGCCACGCCCACCCAGTCACATGGCCACGCCCACCTAGCTATGCCCAGAGACCCGGTTGTTAAAAAAATTTGAATCCCACCCCTATCTGTAGCCTTCTATTCAATATGTTGGAGATGGGGGAGGCTTGAAGGAAACTGAAAGAGCCATGTAAGTAAATGAGGAAGTGAACCTGGGATTGCTGCTTACACTAGGGAAAAGCACCTGCAGCCAGGCAGAAATACTACCCACTCCACTCCCCAAGGCACAACAAACACAGCTCGTGACCCCCCCCTCCCCCGAAAGGCCAAAATCTTAAGAGATGGACTCGTGTATGGATGTGTGCGTTCATTTATGCATTCACAAGTTTACTTTGAAGCATCCATGTTAGGTTTCCAGCTGGCTGGCTAATTGATCCACACCCTGGCACTTTCAAGGATGTGAAGATGTTTGTAAGCAGCCTCACCCTACCCAGGCCCTTGCTTACAAAAATAAACACTAAGAGTGCCTGTTGGGGTGTAAGAGAAGAGGAGATAAGAACCCAGCAAGCAGATGGGAAGCAGAGAAACAATGTTTGGAGGTTGACAGCTCCAAGTTTGGAGATTGATAGCAGGCAGGTGGGTTATCAATCATTTGCCAGACCAGAAGCGACAGTAAGTGACATATCCTGGTGGGATTCTTGCCTGGAGTTTGGATTGGGAGCTTAGCTGGAGTGCAACAATGCTTAAGAGCAGAGTTTGGAGCTTGGCAGCAACTAGAAAAGGGGCAACCACATTATGGCAGCACCTCATTGCAACTAGCCCAAGTACATTTAGAAGGAGGCAAAGGTTGTATACCACTTAACTTTGAGACATTTGTTTGAACTGAGTATAAAGGGCTACGCATTAAAGATGTATTTACATAACAATGTCAACTTGTAAAGCCTAGAAGAGTACAGGTAACGCATAGTGACATCCTGGTTGATGACGGTGTGTGCTGCAATAAAGCATTGTGTATAGAGCTGCTACACTGAGGTGTGTTCAATCCCAGAAAAGCAAAGAACCCTCACAAATTGGAATGCTTGGAAACATCCCCATGATTTCATTTCTATCTCAGAAGAAAAAGTAATTAATTAATCATTTAGCAATTACTTCCCATAACACTGTTCACCAGGTATAATTAAAATATTGCTGAACTAAAATCCACCAAATTCCCATCCAAACATGGCATACAGGATTGCAGATCTGATTTTTTTTAAGCTGTTACTTTTAAAAAAAAGTCTCAACGAAGTTTGAATTTTTCTTCTAGATCATAAAGAAGATTGGCTGAAAATGCAAAATGATCGTCAAACCATATTGGATTCCATCTGCCTGAGCAAGAATTTAACAAATTTAAAAAGAAAGCTGGATGAACATGTGGCTAGACAGCTCTTTGTGGATGAGAACTACAAATTTATCTATTGTGAGGTGCCAAAAGTAGGCTGTACTAATTGGAAGAAAATTGTTTTGCTACTCACGCTGAACCTGAGCAGGCACGCCTTTGAAGTAAGCCAGGATGAGATTCATAAAACAAACCTTCTAAAGCGGTTGAGTTCTTATCCATCTAAACAACAAGCAAAACTTTTGAACTCCTTTACAAAAGTGATGTTTACCAGGCATCCTCTAGAAAGATTGGTCTCTGCTTACAGAGACAAATTATTGCATGATGAACCTTACTATCGTACCACAGTGGCAAATGAGATTAAAGCCATGTTTAGGAAGGACAACAATTTTACAGGGGCTGTGACTTTTCAAGAGTTTGTAAACTATGTTGTGACAAGAAGTAATGAGTATTTGGATGTACATTGGAAACCAATGTTCCAGTTGTGTGATCCCTGCAATATTCACTATGACATTCTGGGAAAGTATGAGACGCTGGGGGAGGATGTCAGTCATACTCTCAGCAGAATTGGAGTTACAGAGATAGTCCGTTACCCAGACAGTAAGTTTTATACACAAAGGACAAACAAGAAGCTCACTATCCAATATCTAAAAAAACTGGATTGGAACCAAATGGAGAAACTCATGAAACTTTATCAGCCAGATTTCTCTTTATTTAATTACACTTTTACTGTTGAAATGGAAATGACATTTTCAGGCTAAGTCATACCTCTATTTTCTGCATACCTACCTTTGGGAGTAAGGCAAGAACTTGCTAGGAAAAAAAACACACTTTTTAAGATGATATATATTTTAAAAAAATACATTTCTTTAGGTGGCTATCTGTTTCTAAGTTGCCTCCTTTAAAATGTTCACTTGGTGCCTTCACTGACTTCATTTAGATGTCAAATATTTTATTTCATTATTCTGTAGATTTGATTTTACTGATAACTAGCCTTATTTTAGCACACCTAAACCATACTTTGCTATTTATTTATGCATCATACTATGCTTTACTGCAAATCGAAGTGTCTGGATCTATTCATTGCATTAGGTAACAAGCAAACAGATCACAATTTAAATAGCTGCGTGAACCTTGACACTGAGCACTGGAAATTTATTTCCAGTTTATGACTTGCATATTGAATACGACTAGCATGCAAAAACATGTTGCTTATATACTTTAACAAGCATTCACCAGATACTGTCTCTGTATATATTTGATATTTTGTTTTTATGTGTTAGTATATGAATGTTGTGCTTCTGAAAAATAAATTCACCTTGAAATGCATCTTAGTATGTTGAGTGGACTTTGCATGGAAGATGCATTGTATAAATTTGCATTTGGGTATGATTGCATTAATAGGATGTTAATTAGTATCCTATTAAATATATCTCTCTTCTCCCTTTTCATCCATCACATGTCCCTCTGAACTTCCACAAAAGAGTCTCCAACTTTCCGGGACAATTTTGGAGGCCATAGCAGAAGATGCAAGGAGAAGGGAATTTATTCTAGTACTAGTCTATATAATACTAAATCTCTAGTTGTCATTATCTTTAGCTGGGTTAAACTTTGCATCATAGGACAACAATTTTGGAACCAAAGTACTTCAAATGGGCTCACATACAGAACGTATCCAAAATCCAGGGACCCATGACTCTTATGGAAATTGAATTTGGGAAAGTTTGGGCTGCTTCCATGCTACTGGCTGCTGTTGCATTGCTGGGCTGTTGCTGCAGTCACATGATGCTCATTCTGAACATTTCATGACAGTTTCCCAGCCACTTTCGCAGTCCTTTGTTCCTTACCCTAGCATCAGCAAGGAATTGATTCAGCGTGTAGCTTTTAAAGAAGCAACAATTTGAAAGTACACGAAGAAAAGCCTGGATATTTTTATTAGTTTATGACCCCCTTCTTTGGTATACAAACATGCTCGTGTATCTATATACCATCTTTGTTCAGGAACTTAAGGCCCATCCATCCTCCTATATTTCTTCACAACAGCCCTATGAGGTAGGATGAGCTGGAAAAAAAATCACCAAATGAGCTGCTGTGGCTGCAGATGGAGCAGAAACTGTATCCTCTCTGGTATCAGTCAAATACATTGGCCACTATGCCTTAGTCTTTGCCTATCCTGTTTCACTTTTCAACTACACTACTCTGAAGCTGAGAGTAGACTAGCCCCTCCTTCAATCATCAGAAATCGGATAGACCAGTCCTACCCTAGCCCTCAGGAATCTCATGTTCCTTTTTTAAACTGTCTCTGACAGCTTCTACAACTCAACAAAGAAAAGATTTAGGGATTCTGCTGTCATGGTTCCGAGGGATGCCCTAATTAATTCATGAGCCTCGAGCCAATCCATCAATTCTCCCCCCCTCCTGCCTATGGCAACTCAAGAGCAGGCCAGGAATGCTTTACGAGTTGAGATCGAAACTGTTCTGAGGTGAGAACGGCAGTGTATAATAATGTGGTAAAATAATAAATTAAATTAAATTAATTATCATCAGCATAATTATGCCATGTGAAAAGAGAGGGAATAAAATGGTCGAGAGATGACACCAAACGTCATTGGGATGTGCTAGGAAGGAGGAGAGATGAAGAAATGGAGGATGAAAGAGCTTCATATTTCCAGAATAATAAAAAGGTACAGAATGAGGAAGTAAGAAAAGGTGAAAGAGGAAAGGGAAGATCAACGACAACAAGTGGCAAATACCGATTACTGTGAGAATTCCTCAACATGAGAATACCTGCCTTCAACAAGACCAAAATATCAAAAAGTGAGGCAAAATGCACCATTTGCTAAGATATTTTTTTGATGTTGGTGCTTTAGCCAAAGTCTGCCCTCACTGTTGTGTGTTCCTTTTCTCAGTTGCTTTTTGAAAAAGGTCAAGTTTCGCTGTATGGCTCCCTTGGCTGGGAAACGGAGATGAATACTGCCCCCTAGTGAGAGATACGACCTGATAGGGGAAATTTTTGTCTTTACCCTTTTTACTGTATAAAGAGAAAGGTCAGGCCAGGCAATTTGTAACTCTCCAATGTATATGGTAACAATGAACCTGTTGCAAATGGGTTAGGACAGTACAAAGTGCTTCTTCCGAATGACATCCTTTGGCGCCAAAGAAGTCCTTCTAACATGGAATGAATTGGAATCCTTCTGTGATTATTTAGGGCAAACCCATCATTACACTGGTCATTTAGTGCCAGACCTCAAAAGAGAAGCCAAATTTATTCAAATTCATGGATCCTCAAGACTGCATAGAATTAATAATAGGTATACTCTACAGTCATGGAATTCATGAGGTTATTACATTATTGGAAGGAATGGGGAAGGAGGGAAGGAAGGAAGGCTGAGGGCTTTGAGAGCGAGGACTCAGATGAGGGGCCTGCGTGTGATGCAGGGATGGGGCCAGGACCATCAGGGAGCGGGATGCTGCCTTTGGAGATTGTGGAGGCTGGCAGCAGTGATGAAGAGGCCCCCAAGGAGCCTCTGCCCAGTGCGCGTGTGCACAGGGCTGCTCGAAGGAAAGAGCAGCTGCAGCAGCACGGGCGACTCGGGAGTAAGGCTGCAAGGTAATGGCCCCTCCCTGAAAAGATAAAAGCCAGCTGAGAAACCGCAGTTCTTTGCAGAAGGCACAGAAGTTTGATACCCAAGCCTGGTGGACATTAGGAATATCTGAGTTGGTGTTTGGAGACTCTTTGATTTGTTGTTTAGGAACTTTTGTCTGTTCTTGGCCAAGTTTTTGCAAGGCTCTTCCTTATCGGAGCTAATTAGTTGGAAGCAGCCTTTTAACTGTGAAGAAACAGGATTCGTAAACGAAACATTAAAAGGTTGTGCTGGTACCTGTCTTGTGTTTGCTCTCTGGGAACCAGGTTTGGGTCAGAACAGATGTTTCTTGCCAGCTTCCCATAAGGAAACTCAATGGAGAAGCCCGCAGCAAGTTGGAAATAGCTCCTGCTCCCCCCTCCTTTTTTGCCCACTTGCGGTCATTCGTTTTCTCTGTTTTAAGGTTAGAAAATATAATCTGAAATGATGACCCAATGGGACATGGGTTGACTACTATTCACTGAAAATGAAATCACACATTTGATAATTATATCTCTATCTATCCCTGTCTCTATATTTATCTAAAAAGCTTGCCATGAATCTTTCCAAATTGGACTTGGATATTCCTTCCCCCACAGACAACCTTCCCTCAAAAGATATGTGCATACAAAATTAAGTGCTCCCAAAATAATAATAATAAAAAAGATGATTTCAGGTGCCACAAAACTCTGGGCTCACAAGGACCTCTGCACAGGTTTGTTGCCTGGACTTAATAGCAGCTGAGTGGGGATGTTCTGCATTGCTGTGGTCCAGCCCTTGGCAGTGGCGGTGAAAGGGGCACCTTTTGCCAGGAATGGCTGACAGCAGCCCTTCCTCAGCCTTGCAGCTGACCTACACTGGATCCAGCCCAGCTAGAGACAGAATGAGTGCAACTCCAGAGCCTCTAAAGCATATAGGAATGCTTTTTTTCTCCTACCTCTCAAGAATATTTAATATCTGGTGAGGTTTGGGCTACACAGGGTCCATAATCATTCATACACAAATTAATGTTTCAATTAATAATTAAAGTTTAAATAAATCCAGACTATACCCAGAGAAGAATGGAGTTGGGTGGGAATCAAAGAGAAGCAATCTAAATGCTTTTTGTACAGTAGTGTCGGCAGAATTAACCTTCTGGGATAGTTCCAAATGGGGAAGAAAGACACTGGAAACATGGTGACTGCTTGGAAAGGTGGTTTAATGGCGGACAGGATCACATGCCTTGGGTGAAGAAAGAAGGAAAAGGGCTGAGATGCTGAGAGACCCTTAGTTTTATACCTCGGTTGCAATTTGAATTGGAGCTTGTATTTTGATTGGTTGTCATACTCCCGTGGGGCCATGCAGGGGCAACTCTGTAGGCTGGCCTGAGTCCCAGTCTTGGTTGAGTCTTGCTGGATGGTGATGTAATGAAAGGGCTTTGGGCAATTCCTATTATAGCTCTACCTGGAGTAGATCTTTGTTATGTAAAATAGACTGGTCTAGGCCAGAGTAATGGTCCATTAGCAAAGGTGGGGGTGAGCTTCTGCTTCTGAGTTTTGACTCTTCTTAGGGGAAATATTCTGCCTTTTAAATATTTCCTAGGATATTTCATTTTTTTAGGAGCGGGACGGGTGCTAACTTCCTACAGTAGTCCCCCCCCCCAATAGCACCTCCAAATGATTTTTTTTAATTTTTTTGTGGGGTTCACAATAGGGAAATATGAGCAACCTATCCCAAATGTTCTTCCCCCCCCCCCCCCCAAAAAAAAGGCAACTGAATTTTCTTTGATTTTTCCTGAAGATGTTTTGCTTCTCATGCAAGAAGCTTCTTCAGTTCTAAGAAAGTCTGGTTGCTTTTTGAAAAACACACGTTTGGGGCAACCATGACCTGGATGACTGAGAATCTCCATAGACAGTGAGCAACCTATCTGATTATCTGAAAATAGCCTGAAGCATTCGGACAGAACACTGCAAAACATATTGGGCAGCAAAGGAGTGACACAAGGTTGTGTACTCTGTCCTTTATTTATTCAATTTATTTGCTGAATATATATCGAGAGAAACTGGATTGGAAGAATACGAGCACCTTTAAATTGGAGGGAGGACCATCCATAACCTTTGCTATGCTGATGAGAAGCAAACAAATGATAGAAGGTATAGCTACAAGACTTATTTGCTGACAATGAAGACATTAAATAGGTAATCAGTGTTTGCCTTTTAGGTTTGACAATTGATAGTAAAGGAACCAGCAGTGAAGAAATATACAATAAACTAGATAAGATAAAATGAGG